CACCTCCTAGATGGTAATGAAGAAGCGGATTATGGAAATTCTTAACTTTATTTAGATAACACCTGCTGTTAAGTTGGTAGCCTAGTTACCTTCTGGGGTTTATGTCGAGAGTATGAGCTGTCTGAAAGCTCCAGTCAAGTCACAGAATCACAGAATCATTAGGGTTGGAAGGGACTTCTGAAGATGACCTAGTCCAACCCCCAAGTCCTTGCATGAGAGGAGAGTACAATTTCTATCTCTGCTAACATAAATCCTGGCCTTAACAATTATCACAAGATTTCTGAGAGGCTTAAACCCTGATAAAGACTCCACAACTGAAAAAGAAACATTTTCAGGTTTTTAAATGGTTGTTATCCTGTCTTTGAAGTGCTGGATATCATGAGGGGAAAAAAAAAGCTAGGGATAGTTCTGAAAGTACAGGGCAGTGAGAAGAGTCTGCTAAAAAAGTTGATTCTCCCTCTAGCCACAGCAATAGCAGTTAAATTACTCCAACCTCTCTGGGCTTTGCTTCATAGCTGGGATTGAGATGGGATTTTTTCTAGGCTTGAACCACTGTGTTTGAAAGTTTTACACCCAGGGCTGCAGTGGAGGACAGACTGTTTGGGTCAGTCTGGCTAACATTCTGCTCCTGAACAATGCTGATCCTTTGCAATAGCATCCTGTAACTGAGTTTCAGTGAACAACTATTTTGAAGCAGGAGTTATAAAGACAGGTACAATTAACAGATTAAAGATGTACATCTTTCCTTAGGATGGAAATAGTAGAAACCTTGCCCTGTTCTGGGCAAGCTGGAGGCACTTTTTCGGTAGTGTGACTAAATATCTGGTCTTCTAAATGTACTCCTACACCAGCCACATCATTCTTTTGAAATCCTGTTGCAGAAATGAATCGGGCACATATTGAAACACAGCTGAGAGGAAGCTGAAGTAGCTAAACCTTTGAGAAGTTCATCCTTACATGCAGAAAAAGGTTCCAGCGGGCAATCCATATGGTTGGTGCTGCCCAGCTCACAGAGGCAGACCTAGAGGCTGCTGTGGTTGATGCAGTGCAGCATCCCGGGCAAAGTGAACTTACCGCGATCTTCCCCAGGTCGATGCCGTAGTTAAGTGCACTCCACGAACACTGTTTGAAGTTGGGTGTCCAGGACTCCTCGATGCTCTCACGCATGCACTCGCCCTTCTCCCCTTTCAGCCCATCCCGTCCTGGGATTCCAGGTGTCCCAGGGATCCCGTTGGCTCCTGGGTTTCCATCCCGTCCAGGAACGCCACTGGGGCCTTGCAAGCACATGCCATTATACTGAAACACAGAACAGACCTTGCTGCTTCCATCTCCCGACTCCCTTGGCAAACCAAATAAAATGCAAATGAACAACAAAACACAAAACCCTGCTGTGCCACAAATTAATGGGCTACTTCTGTATCACCAAGAAAATGATTCCATAGAAGAGGAAAATAGAAAAATGAGTTTTCAAAGATAAGCAACACCAGCAGAATTTGCTGTATATTAAGATGCCATTTTGTTATGAAAAGATACATAAATCCTAGAATTAAAACTTTACCTAGTCCAAGAATTAAAACCTGTTGGAACACATCAGAAGAGTCAAAACATTTCAATACTGAAAAAAAAAAGTCATATGTTAATTCTTTCTCCTAACCCACCATTGCTTGTATAATTGTCTCTGCTAATAAGATTTGATTATTATTTTTCCTTTTTTTTAAAATAGAGAAAATTTTTCATTCCATAGAGTGCAGAGGTTAACGCTGGTTTTCTTTCCTCTGTCGCTGCTCCTCTGGGACAGAACCACGTCGCAACAGTCAAGCCCCACAAGTCAGGCTCCAGAATGCACACACATCAGTGGTGATGCAGATGTGGGAAGCTGCACCCTGGAATAATCCTGAAGTCAGGATTCCCCCATAACAGTGGGAAGGCACACATGGGAGGATGCACAATGCACACTAACATCCTTCCTAACATCACAATATTATGAAAGGTCAAGTGTTGCTCTCCCAAACTGCACATTAACACGCTGCCTTCCTACTTTATGAAATTTGGGGTTGCCCTTCTTAGAGAGTAGGTTTGGGCTCCTTCCCCCAGCAGCCTGAGTGCTGGGATGTGGGAGGAGCACTGGTGTCAGCAGGCACGGAAATTCTAACCAGGAACCTGCAGGGTCTGGTGGTGGCTTCTACTTCAAGTGCTCTTTCCCATCTGGTGACTGACTGCTTGATCTAGTCTTCATCCCAAATCTTCACAGATAACCGTACTCTGCTCTTCCACTTTCTCACACTTTTTCATCTTCATCTTCTTTAAACCACCTAATCCTCCTCACCTGTTTCAAAAAGAAAGAGTGCTGCAACTATTGCCCCTCCTGCCAGCCATGCCCCTGCCTGCACTGCAGGAGCTGTAAACTACAGCCCCTGCCCTCTCTCCTTTGTCATACTGCTGAACTTTCTTAGTCTGACGTTGTGCCTTTTCACAGGCCTTGGTGCAAAATCCAGCATAGCTATCACAGGTTTGGCTGGAGCTGCAAAAATAAATCAGTGACTACATGGAGAGGTCTAGTAAGAAGTAAGATGAGAGCTGGACTAACAGTTGCTGGCTTTCCCTTACTACCTTCACCAAAGAACACTAGCTGGCTAAAAGCAGTGGAAACAGTGGAATATTTTAATCAAGAAGGCCACTTTTTAGAAAAGTTAGCTGAAGAGGAGTCTGGTTGGTAAAGCACACAGTGACCCAGGGGCCATTGGAATGATGGAATGGCATTTCTATTTCATGCAGCGCTGGTTATCTGCTTTTGCTGCTGCTTTCCCATTGGACTCTATTTGTAACAGTGACTGGCTCCTTCTTTTGCATGTGGTTACTCACCACAGAAGTCCTGGATGTGGAAATGGGCAAGAGCTGGGGAGTGGCCAAGGCTCAGGCCCGTTATCCCTCCCATCCCCAAGGACACCACAAGGGACTGGGCTGCCCTGACAGAGGGCCTGCCACCGCCGTGCCCCAGAGCTGCACAGCAGCCTTCCACGGAGAGCAGCTCAGCCATTGCACACCCCAAAAAATTGATGTGAGCACAAGAATTACCCAGGCTTTGGGCTCCATTCCAACTAAAGTCATCTGTCTTGCCAAATAAAGTCTTTTTCATGCTTTCTTAAGCTGGAAATGCATAAAACATATTTCAAAATGTCTGCTGAAGGCAGGATCCCTTCTTGAGCATACCTTCACTCTGTCCTGGCATGGCTTTAGCTGAAGCAGTCTGTACAACCGGGCGGTACCTGAGTCAGCTGCCATTGATTTACCTGCGTTTTGCTGCTCATTTTGTTACACCCAAAAGCATGGAGCAATGCCAGAGAAAAGAGAGACCCTCAAATACTGCTCCAACAGAAAATGTAAGCTCCTCAATGTGTACAGACTCCTTATTCTCAATACAATTCAACTTCCACAATGAAAGTGAAAAGGCAATGAAGTGGTGTGAAAGGGAAGGAGCTTTGCTATCAGTGGTGTTTCCAGCACATCACTTTAGGGGATCTCTCTGAAGATCATGAAAAAAAGGGGCATGCCACTGATTTTCTATAGGAGGTGAACAGCAGCCCAGCAGTTCACAGAAATACCTTCACATCTGCTTTCTACATACCAAGGACTGGAAAATCTCCCTCCTCTCAACTATCGCTGAGATAGGATAGTCCCAATGCATTCAGGTTTCTAGTTGCAGTGGAATTTCAAACAGTCGTATGCAGTCTCCACAGCCAAAGCGAGTAATGCATTCACACAACTCCAAGGAAAAGTGGGTTCGGGAAGCATGCAGATACGGTTTTCAGGGTGTCTGCTGAATAGCAGACCTTTTTTTCGTCTTGTTTTGTACTTCTCTCATTATTATTTATGCACTAACCCTTTAGGAACTAAACAGCATTTACTGCTTCTGTTGGAAGGGCTGTAGGATTTCGACGTTGCCCCTGCAGTGGCTGAGGGCAGGGTCCAGCCCACGGCGCTGCCTCGGGTCCCGCCGCGATGCCCCCCGGCACCGGGCACGGCGGGGAGCGGGGGCTCCGCCGGCTCCAGCCGCAGCCCCCGACTCTGGCCCGATGGGGAAAACGCCAAGACACGCACCCGGCCGCCGAAAACCTGCGGTTTCTGTCAAAGCCCGTCTAATCCCTTCTCGGCATTTTCCTGATTCAGCACAACCAGGGCGTAATTAACAGAACTCAAGAGAGAATTCCAGCGGCGCGGGACCAGCGCTGCCCTGCCCGGAGCGGCGGCGAGATTTTTCGAAACCCTCTGATTTTTCGCTTCTTTTCCCACATCTTTGCAGCAAACAAAAGCGTCCGCGCGGATCCTCCGGCCGCCGCCCCCCATCCGCACGGCGCCCCCAACACCTCCGTCAGCCGAGATCCCGGCCCCGCTCCCGGCCCCGCTCCCAGCCCCCGGCGCCGCCGCTCTCACCACGTCCACCACCTCCCGCTGGCGAAGCGCCTTCTGCTTCCCCTTGGGGCTGTCGGAGCCGGCGGGCGGCGGGGCCGCCAGCAGCAGCAGCAGCAGCAGCAGCGCCGGCAGCAGCAGCAGCGGCGGGGCGGCGGCGAACGGGGCGCGGGGCATCGTGCGGGGGGCGCGGGGTGGGAGGGGAGGCGGGGATGCGCCGGGGCCGGGGGGAGGCTGCGGCGCAGGAACCCGTGTCCGCCGCTCTGGGCGGCAGCGCGGGGATAAATGAGCCTTTCAGCGCGCGCAGCCCGAGCTCCCTCCCCGGGAGGCCGGGAATTTCCATCCTGTAACGGAGCGGGACGGCCAGGCAGAGCCATCCCCCCGCAGCCATTGGCACAGGGCCGGGGGCTCCCGCCCCCTCGGGCCGGCCCCGCCGAGCTTTCCCCGGGAGATGCTGGAGCCCCCGGGCGATGCTGAAGATCCCCGCGCCAGGCGGCGGGAGGGATGCGGAGACCCTCCCGGCTCTCCCGGAGCCCCAGGCAGCCCACTTCCAGGTCTTCAGGGATTTGCTCGGCAGATGGGAACTCCGTTCCGACGAAGGAGCTGTTTCGGTAAGAAACCGCGTAACGCCTCAGCGAGAGCCTGATGTACGTGAGGGGAAATGGTGTTAAAACAGCAGCTGGGCATCAATCACAAATTTCATTGTAACAGAAGTCAAGGTAAGGACACAAAATCCTTCTGAATAGCAGTGGATTTTGGACTTTATTGAAGAACCTAGTATTGTCAGAGTGAACATTGCCAATCTAATAACAGGAGGAAAGTTCTTGGCAACCCAGCGTAAACCATCTCATTTTGCTTTAATTTAAAATTTATACTTTACTTTTCATCACACCAGAAATGAAAGCACTATAAAATAAAGAATGCTGTATATCCTCAAGCATTCAAAATAGAAATAACATATATTTAATGGGTAGCTTCTGCATGCTGCAAACCTTGTGGGATTTGTAGAGGTAAAGTTTCCAGAAGGGGGAGATAAGCTTCAACACATATTTTTTTCTGAAGTATTTAACGAAACCACACATTTGTCCTGCAGGAAAGAATGCCACAAGACGTTGAGTCATTCACAATAGACTACACAGAACCAGATTTTTGTGTACATTAAACCCCTTCATGTGGCTCTGCACTTACTTGTCTTTCTTCCCTTTCCTTGTCTATACAGGTGGAACAATAGCAGTGAAGTGAGATTTGCACCCCAGGTCAGTCACACTGCTGTCATCAACCCTGTCACATGGTGTCCTGAGAACTGGGACTGACATCAGCCACGTTGCTGAGGTGAGTGTTCCTATCTTGAGAAGAAGGGAAACAATACACCCAGCCAACTTAAAAAAACAGCTGGCAAATAATAATGGTTCCCTAAACCAGCTGGGAAAATTTATAAAATTATGTAAATCCATAATTGCAGCAATTGCTTCAGTGACAGCCTCAGTCGACATCCATGAACATGCACACACAGAGGCTTCCTTGTGCAATCGTGCGTCGCTGCCAGCAAACCCTCCTGGCCCGGGCTGGTGGCAATACTGTGAAGGTGGTAATGTTTGTTTTCTGTGGCACCTGCGTGTTCACACAAGCATCGTTACCAAGGGCTGGGGATCCCCAGCATCAACAAAGGCTGTTGCTAAGGCATGTACCTTCACAGGCTGCCAAACCTATGCATTACAGAATGAATTTCTTCAGGCAGTCTGCAGTAGCTGAAGCACACAGCACAGCAGCACTGCATACCTTCGCAAGACAGTTGCTCGGTACTTTAGAGATAAAAAATTGCACATGCATCCGCATGCATTTCCCCACCTGGGTTTGCTCAGCCATTAATTCAAGTGTGGGTTAAAAGCTTTGAAATCAAAATTACTTTGCCAGGGGAAGCAAAGTGAGGAGTGCTGTAAAAGAATGTATTAGCAAACAATGTGGGACATCTTCTTTGAGCTCCAGTGAGAGCATTGTGCAATTCCTAGTTGACTTACAGCGTGTATTTCCATCTGGAAAACAGAAATGTCAACATCCTCCTTAGCCTGCATCAGTCCAAGCAAGCCTTGCCATCTGCTAGGTTTATGCTCTGTGGGCTTTTGATATATTTAAATGCTTCTGAGGACACCAACCATTGCTGAATGCTGGTGAGTTATTCAGATTGAATCAGAACTATTGATCTACTTTGCCTTAACTATTTCTCAGATAAAAGGAGCTGTGGTAATAAACTTGCCTGAGCATCCTCAGACCATGATCCATATTACATCAACTAGTGAATCCTTCATCTTACCCATACTGCCATATGATACAGACTTTATATTTTATGTGGCCTTACAAACACATCAGAAAAGATTATGAGTTGCTACCTCTACCACTTAAATGTTGCTAAAATCTCCCAGATGGTCAATCTGCTCCTGCACAGCCCAGGCAGGCTCACACGAGGTCACCGTGGCACTGCCAGCGCATCACACATAACAGATGTTTACACCACAAGGCTGATGCCATGAGTGCAATCTCTCTATTGCAGCTTGAGCTGTTTCCCCCTTCACATAACCTCTCACCATCCCAAAAATCCAGACACACAAGCCTGGAGAGGAGGATGTGCCCATACGCACACATGTTTCCATTCACCTCACATATTTAAATTCAAGGGACTGTCCACTGGGTCGTTGGGTCTCTCTGCTTTTCCTGTGCAAACTATTCCAGTTTATGAATACCATTTGTTAGAGCACTGGATGGAATTCAACCAGTAAATAATTGTTATTCAGTCCTTGGTCTTCATGGGGTGAAACAACTGCTGGGAACCAGGAAAACCAGACTTAGGGGTCTAAATATTGCCTGAGGTTTAAGGCTGAGGATCCTGAGCCAAAAGAGGCCCAGTAAGGTAAGTGCCAAGACCTGGACCTTTTGTCTGCTTTTAACTCTTATTGCTTTGTGCATTTCCCTGTTCTGGTGATGTCTGGGGATTTTGACTTTGGTTGGCAGCTCAATTTGTGCATAGCTTTGGGGAGCATGTACGCACCCCAGGGTAAGTAGCAGAGCTCAGGGGTAGCACTGCAGTGCTCAGCATCACAGCACTTGGGATCTCTGACAATCTATCCTCAGTGCTTTTAATTGTGGAGTTCATCATTTAGATCTTGTTCACGGTTACTGATATTTTAGGGTGAGTTGTAAGTTGGTGTAAAAGGCTGAGATCAGAGAAAATTTGGATTTCTCGAATGGCTATTTGCAGGCTGCCTGTCTGATCGAGGAGACAAAGAGCCGTCTGTACTGCTGTAGAAGAAAACCAAAGAACGAGCTATCGGGTAATTTATTACAGGTTTAAGAAATAGATTCCAGTTTCTTCCACAAAAAGCCTTTGGAACTGCATGAATATCAGTGGGATTGTGGCCTTGCCCACTTCTAACATCTTTTAATTTAAACATATGATATAGTATAGGATGTCTATTATTTTAAAATAATCCAAAACATCTCTCCCTCTGTTTTATTGCTATACCAGCACAGATACACCTATTTAAAAAAAATCTTCCAGTAGTTTCTACATAAAATGGTAAGCATTGTAGCCACAGCAGTGCTTTGCAGGTATACATATTAGCATTTGAATCTTAAAAACTCTTTTGGGGCCAATTTTTTAGTGGATTATAATATTCAGTGATGTCGTGTTTCTGCCTGTAAGAAAAGCTTAAAAGTGTAAATCGTATCAATATTCTCTTTGTTGAGACTCTACACCTTCAGGTGATACTCAGGTCATGCTAACAGTTCCCTATGCAAGCCATGAAAAAAATAATTGATCATCTGAATACCAGCCTGAAAAGACAGGCAGAGGTGAGAGCATAATAATGGAGTTGTCCAAGAGGGGCAGAACTGTTAGGAAAGCATGTGCTCACCCTTCAGATGCTTGTCTGCTGAAGAGAATTCCTACACCCATATACAGACAGATGGCATTTTTTGAGTGTGAGAAAAAAGGAGTTAAGCGTTAATTCTTTACTTCTGAATAAGCACATGGCAGATCTTAATGTTACTAGAGGCTATATTGTGTATTTGCACAATAGAAAACATTAGAGAGAGGATCAATGCTTTTTATTTTTCATATTAATTAAGTTTTCTATCAAGATTAATCCTTAACATTCTCTCCAACAAGTCAAGATGAGGACATAGGTCAAGTATCAGGAAGCTCAACTTACAGAAACAGCTCCTTCCATTGCCTGCTGGAGTTCCAGGCAGATCTGTTTTTTTCTGTCCAAGTCATCAGTTGACTTATAGTTGCATTTCTCTGCAGCTCCGTTACTACAATAATAATGGAAGCACCGAATATCTTAAACTAAACACCACTCACAGACAGTCAGACAGAGATAAACTTCAACAAAACTGTTTGGGAGAACAGTCTGCTCACTGATAAAGAATAACTCAGCACACACCCAGACATTTCCATAGTGTAAACATTATGATGAAAAGCCTGTACTGTTCTCATTGACTAGTGGTTGCAAATTTCAGACTCTGAAGGGGTCTGGTCTGTGCCTCTGCAAGTCTGCTCCCAAGAGCAGCTGGTGCAATCCTGGCTGCAGTCATGGAAACTTCTGAGTCTGAAGGGGCATCTGGACCACATCTGGTTGAAGCAGGTCTGCTTAGATTGGGTTATTCAAAGACTTGTGCATGTGGTAGAATGGGAAAATTAATTCAGTGCAGTTTTAAGTTAAATTCACTGTGCCTTCAGTGAATCATCATGTGCAAGGAGAGAGGTAAGGCTTAGGAGGAACATTTGCTCATTAATGAGTGGCTGTGAATTAATCAGTGGTAGGTGGTCTAGTGGTTAGGGTGCAGGACTCTCACCGCTGCGACCCGGGTTCGATTCCCGGCCCCCCGGGCAGATGGAGCTCGTTAGCCCTGTGAGGCAATCCATCTAAGAGAAGGTCACTCTAAACAAACCTATGTTCTGAGACCCTCACTGCCACTGTCTGAGTTTCACTCGGCCCCGGCAGATGAACCTCAGGATTAAAGGGTGGGCTCAGTTCAGCGCACGCTGTGTCTCACCTAAAAAAAAAAATCCACTGCGCAGGCTCGAAGGGTCAATGACCTTTCCCAAATCTTCGCT